CTGCATGCACCCCTCCTCACTTACCTTTGCACTGGCAGGCTCCATCCCTGCTCCAGCCTGGGGCTAAGAGCTTGGCCCCTGCTCAGCCCCATAGCAGTGGTGCCAGCTCCACGCTTCCACTGCAGGGCTGGGCTGGGGCTGTGCTCTGTGTCCCAGGCTAGAACAGGGGCAGAGCCTGCCAGTGCTGAAACAAGGGTAAGAGGGGAAGGCGGGGGTTGTAAGAGAGGGGAGGCAGAGGTGGGGGTGGAGACAGGGAAACAAGGGAAAGGTCCGAGGTTGTGGGCAGGCAGAAACAACATGGGATAGAGGGGGAGGGGAAGGAGGGAGGGCAGGGGAATGGGGTTCAGGGACCCTAGATTTCAGGGAAGCAGAGGCTGTGGTGGGACACACACAAGGAGGAAGTAAATTGGGGGACAGGTGGCAGGGGGCAAGTGGCCTGGCCCCCCTGCCTACCCATACCCCCACCTCCTCACCCTGGTTGCCCCATCACCTGCCCTACCACATGCTTCCCACCACTTTCCCCAGCACTTTACTGCCTCTCCCCCCACCTGCCCCCCCCCACCTATTTATTTACCACTACTTTCCATGCTGCAGTGGCAGTGGGGATGGATTTAAGATGATCCTCCAATAATAAGATTCTCTATGTGGAAATTATAACAAATTTATAAATTTACTATATATCAAATTTTCCATTTTCCATTGGATTATTGGAGGGTTGTCTTGGATTTGGGTAAATACCGTAATAAGGAAATAATTTTTAAGTATAATTATATTTTATGGTAGATTGCATGGAGTATTTGTGCCTAAAAGTAACCACCACAATGGACTGTCCCACAGTATTGAAAAGAGGTGCCATTGGACTGTACTGGAAACAACTAATGGGAATGAACAGAAATGAATTAATGGTGATTGTGTTAAACTGCCCTGAAAGGACATTCTATATAATCCATGGGCATAACAGTTAGTTTCTGCTCCATAGGTAGCTGCAGTTAGCAGCAATGACTGAGCCTGTGGTGGGGGCTGTCATTATATTTGCACCTCTCCATGTTAAACAGCACCCAGGGCTGGTGCCCTGTTTCCCTTCCCCTAGGTATGCTACTGCCTTCAGCCATGGTGCTGCTAATCATTTTTCTGCTTTGCACTTTGTTTCAAATAATAAGTTAGTTTAGTGAAGTTCTTCAGTCAGCTGGAACCTTAACCTTGGAAGTTGCTCTTGGACCATCCAGGACTGTTAAGGTGACAACACACTTGCATGGTGACAATGCTGGTGGGAAGGACAGAGATGGCATCATCTGATATTTGCTTGCCGTGGCATTCTATGCCAATAAATTAGGATAAAGGAAGCTGACTGGAACTCTGAGCAGTTGTGCTAATCATACCATAGTTCAAAACTTTATTTGTGTTTCCCAGCCAAAGGCAAAATATGAATAAAGAGGGAAAATCCCAGAGGTTTTTATGGTGAATTTGTTAGACTTGGTTATATGTATTAATGAACAGATGGTGCTTTTGGCTAATCTGTCTGGCTCACGTTTGTTGATATGTGGTGTTAAGGATCAGCTCGAGGTGCCTTCATAATAGGCGGTACTAGACACTTTCTAAAACGAAGTGAATACAGAGAGTTGACAGGCAACTCATTGTTCTAAATTGCTGTCTCATGGTAAAGCCAACTGCTTCTGAAATTTCACCCATCTGCATTATTTCACTAAATCTCTACGCATTTTCTAACCTGAAAATGCAGTCTGAGAAAGGTATAATGATCTTTTATCATAACATCAGTTTTTGACCCTGCTTTTTTTATTCTCATTCATTTTGCATGATGATTATTCCTTGAAATGGTTTTTGTATTACTTAAGATGCTTGGTTAATCAGGGCATTACATGGAAACATTTGTAGTCTTGACCTTTTTCCTTCAATTTTTCAATTTTTTTGAATGGAGAGCATTTAGTCCTTTCATGCATTAATGTATTTCATCCCTCTCTTGTGCTGCTTTCTCAGATAGTCATATCTATGGGGATTCTGTTGAGTACAAAGGGTTTGAGATTAGCATGAATAAAGAATATACAAGGCTGGAAATTTGAAACACATTTGATACGATTATGCATCTCGATCACTGTGCAAATTCTTTTTCTTGAAATGTAAAAGCAAACGAAAGATATTATCTCATTCCATGCCCTTCGAGTCTTTTTCAGTCTCTTACTTTATTAGCCCTAATAAAGTCGCTTTGCGCCTTTAAACAAGCTCTGTCACTCTTCTACGTTCACTTTTTACACTAAGGCCCAAATCCTGTTTTGACTAAGTCATTTAAGTATGACTTATGAGGTCTAAATATGGACATGTGAGAGGCATTTTGTTTCTCTTAAACTTACTATTTTAGATTCTGTTTCTACTTGTGCAGCTAGTCTTGCCCTTCCAGGCATGCTCAAAAGAAATGGACTACTGCCACTTAGGTTTTGTGGCAGTGCTATTCCATCTGGGAAGGTATTTAAGTCTGTAAATCCCTGGGAATTTGGTCAGAGGAACACAAAGGTGAGGAACCCCCATTATTTAGCCCAGTAGTCTAGCCAATGGCTAACAACCTTTTCAGGTTGCAGGCCAGAATTACCCAGCTCAGGTTAGAGGTGGGCAGATGGTAGGACCTGGCTGCTGCCATTTCTTCCCACAGTAGCATGCCACAGCTGAAGCTCCCCTGCTGACAAATGCCATTGAAGCCCCATACCTGTGGGCTGGATCAAATGACCCAAAGGC